TATATATAGTTGACATAGGATATTATATTAGCTTCAGGTGTACAACATAGTGATTTGACATACACATTATAAAATGATTATGATAAGTTTAGTTAATATCTGTCAGCTTATGAAGTTATTACAGTATTATCAACTACATTCCCTGTGTTGTACTTGACATCCCTGTGACTTGTTTTAAAACTGAAGTGTGTACCTCTTAATCTGCTTCACCTATTTTACTTGTCCCTCTACCTCTCTACCCTCTGGCAACCACCAACTTGTTTCCTGTATTTATGAATCTGCTTCTGTTTTGTTTGTTTGTTTTGCTTTTTAGAATCCACATATAAGTGAAATTATATGGTATTTGTCTTTCTCCATTTGACTTATTTTACTTGCCGTGATTCTTTCTAGGTCCATCCATGTTGTCACAGATAGCAAGATCCATTCTTTTTTATGGGCTGAATAATATTCCTGTGTGTGTGTGTGTGTGTGTGTGTACGTATCACATCTTCTTTATCTGTTCATCTCTTGATGGACATTTAAGTTGCTGCCATATCTTAGCTATTGTAAATAAGGCTACAATGAACATAGGGATGCATATATCTTTTTGAATTAGTGTTTTGTTTTCTTTGGATAAATATCCAGAAGTGGAATTGCTGGATCATATCATAGTTCTTCGTTTTTATTAAGATTTTATTTTTAAGTAATCTCTACATGGAGCTTGAACTTAGAACCCTGAGATCAAGAGTCACAGGCTCTACTGACTGAGCCTGCCAGGAGCCCCCATAGTTCTATTTTTAATTTTTTGAGGAACCTCCGTACTGTTTTCCACAGTGGCTGTACTAATTTATAGTCTCACCAATAGCGCACAAGGGTTCCCTTTTCTCTACATCCGTGTCAACACTTATTATTTCTTATCTTTTTGATAATAGCCATTCTGACGGGTGTGAAGTGATACTTCATTGTGGTTCTGATGTGCATTTCCCTGATGATTAGGGATGTGGAGCAACTTTTCATGTGTCTGTTGGCCATCTCTGTGTCTTCTTGGAAAAATGTCTATTCAGGTCCTCTGCCCATTTTTTTCATTGAATTGTTTGTTTTTTTAGTATTGAGTTGTGTAAGTTCTTCACATACTAATCCCTTATCAGATATATCATTTGCAGATATCTTCTTCCATTCAGTAGGGGGCCTTTTCGTTTTGTTGATGGTTTCCTTTGCTGTGCAAAAGCATTTTAGTTTGATGTAGTCCCATTTGTTATTTTTGCTGTTGTTGCCCTTGCCTGACAGATCCAAAAAAAATATTGCTAAAACTGATGTCTGAGAGTTTACTGCCATGTTTTCTTTTAGGAGTTTTATGGTTTCAGATCCCACATTTAGCTCTTTAATCCGTTTTGAGTTCATTTTTGTGAATGGTGTGAGAAAGGGGCCCAGTTTTCCCAGCACCATTTATTGATGATACTGTCTTTTCCCCATTGTATATTCTTGCCTCCTTTGTTGTAGAATAATTGACCATATAAGCGTGGATTTATTTCTGGGCTCTCTGTATTGTTGTGTTGATCTATGTGTGTGTTTTGGGGTTAGTACCATACTGTTGTGATTACTGTAGCTTAGTAATATAGTTTAAAATCTGGGATTGTGGTGTGCCTGGGTGGCTCAGTCAGTTGAGCATCCAACTCTTATTTTCGGCTCAGGTCCTGATCTCAGGATCATGGGATCCAGCTGGCTCCAGGCTCAGCACAGTCTCCTTGTCCCTCCCCCTCCCCCCACTCCCGGATTGTGATACCTCAGCTCTGTTCTTCTTTCTCAGTTTGCCTTGGCTATTTGGAATTATTTA